ACTCTGTGAGGTGGAATTTACGTACAGTAAGATTTGCCTTTTTTAGTGAACAGTTCTATGAGTTTTGATGAGCACAGTTTTTGCCACAATCAAGATATGGAATAGTTCATTACCCTCCCCAAATTCTTCCATGTTCCTTTTGTATAATTTTTAAAATAAAAAAACCCTCAAAAACTTTTAAGAGGTAAAATAACCCTGACTTTTAGGGACATAAGATTAATAAATTGCTCTAGTTCTTGGAAAAATACACATAGTAATGGTATTATTCATATTCTGATAATGAATTTTTAATCCTTAGTAATGGCCAGTAGAAATGAACAAAGGAAATGCTTTTTTTCTTTTATCAAAAGCCTATACTTATTCTCACAGAGGGTGTGTTAGAAAAGTTAAGGACTGCAGGCCTTTTCATTGTTAATTTTGCTTGATGCTGAGAACTATTAGGAAGTTTTGGGTTTTTTTAATGGTGATTTTTTTTTTTTCCTGAATAACCTGTTTCTTCTTTGTAATGTATGTGAGATTAGGTATGTTATGTATATTTGTGATTGGGAATGGAAAACATGAAATAGTTCTGTACATTTTCTGACTAAAAGACTTTGTTTTTCAGTTCCACAGTTGTCTTTTAAAACTGTAAGAATCCACATGGTGGGGTACTATGAATTAATAAAAAGGAGTGAGGGGTATATCTACCTGTGATCCATCTACTAGATACAGTAAGGGAAAAAGAAAGTAGAGAAAAATGTGTATAGAATGCTACCGCCTATCTAAGGAGTGAAGGGACGCACACGCACACATGTATTGCTTATATTTTTAAAAAATTGTAAGGATAAACCATACAATTAAAAAAAATGAGGGCAAGAACAGGTGGGTGAAGGGACAGGGATAGAAGCTATACATCTCTAAATCTTGTGCATTTGTCATTGGAGTGATGTTAATGTTACATAATTATAAAACAAAATTAAATCAACATGAAAAAAATCCTGAAAAGCAAAAGCTAGATGAAAGAAATAAACCTAATTATATATTGACTTGGTAGAATAATTACACAAAAGGAATTATTTTATGTGCCTTTTATAGAATTTAGCTTTACATGCCAAATAAGATATACTCTAAGGACATGAATTACAAAATAACTTTCTTCAGTAATCACATTGTTAATGATATTATTAGTATTGTGGACTCTAAATATGGTATCCCATTGAAAGGAACCAGGGCTTCATGAGAAATGATGGGTTCCATGTCTGAGGCAGGAGATGTATTAACATAAGGTGATCCTGGAATATCTTATATTGGGAAGCTAGCAAAGACTATTAGTGTTATTAGTTTGCTTGGGCTGTCTTAACAAAATTCCACAGCACAGACTGGGTGGCTTAAACAACAAATTTATTTTCTCATGGTTCTGGAGGATGGAAGTTCAAGATCAAGGTTCCAGCAGTGTTGGTTTCTTCTGAGGCCTCTGGCCTTTCCTCTGTGCATGCACATCCTTGGTAACTCTTACAAGGACTTCAGTCATATTGGAAGAGGCCCTGATGTCTTCATTTAATCTTAATTACCTCTTTAAAGGCCTTATCTCAAAATATAGTCACACTGGGAGTTAGGGTTTCAAGATATGAATTTGTCGAGGGGCACAATTTAGTCCATAGCAAATGTCATCATGTCAAACAATTCACCAGTCACTTTGAAGAGGCTCTTACTAGCTAAAGATGGGATACTTTGATTGTTGATAAGATAATAAGCAGTGGATTTAAATCTATGAGTTTGTAATATTCTTTTTAAAAAAAGCCTTATTATTCGAAAAACTGGTAAAGAAAGAGAAAGAAGCAGGCATTTATTTTACCTTTCCTGTGCATACTGTATTTGAATTACCTACTAAGTAATGTGGCATAACTGAAGATAATTATGTAGTTGATGAGTGAAAGGGTTTCTTTTAATACGTAAATATTTCTAGTAATACTAAGAAATCAGAATATCACCATTTTATATACTCTTAGTGAAATAATGAATGGACCTAGGCAATGGTCATCAGTGGCCACTACTGTTACAAAAAGAATAACAACCATAGTCTGTTATCTCCTGTTGGAAGTACATAACGTGCCTCCAAAAGTGAGCTTTAATTAGATCAAACCTCTAAATTTAATTACTGCATTACAGGAAATACACAGGACAGAGGAACATGTTAGATGACATGCAATCGGCAATTCTAAAATGGGGGAAGCTGTGAGAAAAACAATCTAATTTTTTCAACAAGTAAATTGCAGGGGAGGAAAAAGGGGTCATTTATAAAATTTAAAAACAGACTCAAGAGACATAACAACCAAATGCAATGCGTTCATCTTGGCACCTTGTTTGGATCTTGATTTGAACAAAACAACTGTAAAGAAACAATTGGGGAAGTGTGACTACTGGTCTATTAGTTTTCTATTGCTGTGTAACAACTTACTCTAAAACTCAATGTTTTGAAACAATAAACACTTATTATGTTATAGTTTCTGTGGGTTAGGAATCCAGGCTTGGCTTAATTGTGTCATCTGACTCAGGGTATCTCAACAAGGCTTCGTTCAAAGTGTTAGTCAGGGCTGCATTCATCTCAAGGCATTCATCACTGAGAAGTATCCACTTCCCATGTGGTTGTTTGACTGGAGCCTTAGTTCCTCTCTGACTCTTTTCTGGAGGCCACCTTGAGTTTATTGCTATGTAGGCTTCTCCATAGGGAAGTTCACATACATGGCAAGCTGGCATCCATAGGGGAAGAAGTGATAGAGTAAATGAGGGAGAACAAGGTGGAAGCCAATGTCTTTTGACGACCTAGTCTTGGTGTTGGTGACCCAGCATATTTGCTGTATGCTTGTTACTGGGTCCAGGCCATACTCAAGGAAGGGGATTACACAAGGGCATAGATACCACAAGCTATTTTTTTTAATTTTTAATTATTATGGGTACATAATAGTTGTATATCTTTATAGGGTACATGTGATATTTTGATACAGGCATACAATGTGAATTAATCAAATCAGGGTATCCATCACCTCAGGCACTTAACATTTCTTTGTGTTGGGAATATTCCAATTCCACTTTTTTATCAGGAGCTATTTTAGAGGCTGCTTACTACAGACTGTAAATCTAATAAGGAATTACTGACCTTTTTTAGGTGTGATAATTATGGTTATGTTTGAAAAAAGTCCTTATCTTTTAGAGTTACATACTATTTCTACACGAAATGAATTAAGATGTTCAGGATTAGCTTTAAAATACATTGGGAAACCGGCAGGAGGCAGAGGAAGTGGCAGGAGGATTATAGAGGAAACAACATTGACTGTGAACTGATAATTGTTGAACCTAGATGACAGATATGCTATTGTTTCTCTTTTTGTCAATGTTCGAAATTTTCCATAGAAAATGTAAAAAGAAAAATGAACAAGGAAGTAAACAAACAAAACCCCCCAAACCCAAAATACCTTAATACGAAACTACACATGCTTTAGTACAAATGATTGACGTTTACATTCTAAGATTCTGAAAGTTTTTGTTTTAATTTTAATTTTTTTACTGTGATAAAATATAACACATTTTAACCATTTTTAAGTGTATAGTTCAGTGGCATCAAGTACATTCACATTGTTCTGTAACCATCACCACTATCTACAGAACTTTTTCATCACCCCAAACTGACACTCTGTACTCATTAAGCAATAAGTCCTCCTTCCCCTCTCTTCCCACCCATGGCAACCACCATTCTACTTTCTGTCTCTATGACTTTGACTATTCTAGGTACCTCATATAAGTGAAATCATGCAATATTTATCCTTTTATGTTGGGCTTATTTCACTTAGCATAATGTCTTCAAGTTTCACCCATGTTGCAGCATGTGTCAGAATAGTATTCCATTGTATGTGTGGACTGCATTTTATTTATCCATTCATCCACTGATGGATGTTTGCTTTGTTTCTACCTTTTGGCCATTGTGAATAATGCTTCTATGAACATGGGTAAACAAAGGTATGTTCAAGTTCCTGCTTTCCATTTTTTTGTGTCTATATGCAGAACTGGAATTGCTGGAACAAATAGTAGTTCTATGTGTAATTTTTTGAGGAGCTGCCATGTTGTTTTCCACACTGGCTGTACCATTTTACATTCCTACCAGCATATGAGTTCCAATTTCCGTACATCCTTGCCAATACTTGTTATTTTCTGTTTTTTTTTTATATAAAATTTTCACTTTTTGTAATAGCTGTCCTAATGAGTATGAAGTGGTGTCTCATTGTGGTTTTGATTTGCATTTCCCTAATAATTAGTAATGTTGAGCATCTTTTCATGTACTTATTGGACATTTGTAGTTCCCCTTTGCAGAAATGTCTACTCAAGTCTTTTGCCCATTTTTGAATTCTATAAATATTTTTTTAAACAGAAAAGATAAATATTTCAGTCTAGTAACATGCTCACCATGGTATATCATTGCTATTAGATCTGTATCCCTCACTACCTTTGAAGCTTCTTGGGGGCAAGGACTATGTGTCTTCTCTCTTTGTCACCACGCTGCTGCCTTCAACATAGAAATAAATGCAAAAATTAAAGGAATTCTGTCACTGTATATTAGAAAAATGTATACTCAAGGTTTAACACTGGGATTTTAATCTCAGGCTCTCTGTATTATAGAGAAATGTGAAGGAAAAAAACTACCAGCACTGGCCCATCAAGTGATCGCCTCATTTCATCTCTATTCAAAAATTGTAGTGATATTTGTTCTTTACCCCCAAATACTCAAAAATTATAACAGAATATTTGTAAAAATGAGTATGACCATATACATGAGTCTTTATTTTTCCTCTTGGATAAATTTTTAATTAAAGTATGCATTTCTGAAATAACACTTTGAAATAGAAATATTAATGGCAGTGTAACTAAAAATTTTAGTAAGTTGAGATACCATAAAAATGAGTTAAAATGTTAGTCTTTCTTTAAGAAATATGATAATAATCTGCGCCTTCTTTTTTGGTATTTGAAAGGTTGCTCTTTGATGAAGACACATCTCTTAGATCTGCATTCAGTCTGCATCCTAATATAAATGGAATATGCAAAGGTGAGAATGATTCTTTTCACTAAGTAGTCCCTTTAATTTCCCAAGTATAGTAAGTCTTTTCTTAACATCGTTGATGGGTTCTTGGAAACTGACTTGAAGCAAAATGACGTATAAGAAAACCAGTTTTCAGTGGGGCCGGCACCGGCCTGGGGGCCGGAGGCCATCACTCCAGACTGGGAAAACCGTGAAGTCTCCTCGGGGACCACTATCATGGCCATCCAATTTGACGGGGGCGTGGTATTGGGGGCGGACTCCAGAACAACCACTGGGTCTTACATCGCCAATCGAGTGACTGACAAGCTGACTCCTATTCATGACCGAATTTTCTGCTGCCGCTCAGGCTCAGCAGCTGATACTCAAGCAGTAGCTGATGCTGTCACTTACCAGCTTGGTTTCCACAGCATTGAACTGAATGAGCCTCCACTGGTGCACACAGCAGCCAGTCTCTTTAAAGAGATGTGTGACTGATACCGGGAAGACCTGATGGCGGGAATTATTGTTGCTGGTTGGGACCCTCAAGAAGGAGGGCAGGTGTGTTCAGTGCCCATGGGGGGTATGATGGTAAGACAGTCCTTTGCCATTGGAGGCTCCAGGAGCTCCTATATCTATGGCTATGTCGATGCTACCTACCGGGAAGGCATGACCAAGGAAGAGTGTCTGCAATTCACTGCCAATGCTCTCGCTTTGGCCATGGAGAGGGATGGCTCCAGTGGAGGGGTGATCCGCCTGGCAGCCATTGCAGAGTCAGGGGTAGAGCAGGAAGTACTTTTGGGAGACCAGATACCCAAATTCACCATTGCCACTTTACCACCCCCTTGAATCCTGGGATTGTAGAATGCAGTAAGAGATACCCCATACCAACACAAGATTTAATAAAGTTTGTCAAAAAGAAAACCAGTTTTACCACAGGCTAAGTGATATAAATAAGAGTTAAGTTCCTACAGCATATTTCTGGTCACAAAAACATCACCAGACTTCTAAATAAAGACCAAAATACTTCTGATATTAAACATGGAAATAAATGTGAGCTATACATACATTTAAGAAAGATTAACAAAAACAAATAATTTTTTACTCAGTTATTCCAGTTCTGGGTCGTGGGTGGCCAAAGCCTATCCCAGCAGCTTAGGGCACAAGGCAGGAACCAGCCCAGGACAGAGGCCATCCCATCGCAAAACACACTCACACCCATACCCGCACTCACTCAAACTGGGTGAATTGAGACATGCCAACGAACCCAATGTGCACATCTTTGGAATGTGACAGGAAATTAGGGTACCCAGGGAAAAGCCATGCAGACACGAAAAGAATGTGCAAACTCCACAGACAGTGGCCACGGCCAGGAGTTGACTTTTTTCTTATTAATGTTGAAACAATGTTATTAAAAATCTTACTGTGTTATTCCATTAACTTTTTTTTTTATATTTAGTCATCTAATTTTACACATGGTTAGTTTCTTATAGGCATCCGTAATAGACCATAAGGTCTATGACACTAGGGATAGCAATGGGGATTGTAGCTTCCAGAAGATGTTTAAGACTCCTAGAAAGGGCTACAGAGGTATTAAAGTGGCACCCAGATAGTTCTTCTTCTCCTGAATATCTCCAGCCTAACCCTAGAACCTATTTGTAAAAGTAAATAATAGTTTTTAATAACTAGTCTTATTCTTCCAGACTAAAATTAAAGTATACAAATCCTTGGTAGATATATTTTTAAAAAGTTCCTTTCATCTACTAATTCTCCATACTTCTGAGACCACTTCTAGGTTGATTTAAACATTTATAGAAAAATTTATCACTGATAGTCACTGTTCAGAAAGGTCAATTCTACAGTAGCTATTTAAATGGTAGGTTATTTGCTTTTACAGTTTTTTCCTGTGTTCCCCCTTCCTTTTTTTTTATTTTGGAGGATATCTGGAAATAAGTGTAAAATAGAAGAAAAATTCCCTAAACACCCACGAAGGTCTCCTAACTTTTGTATATTGTTTTATAGTTAGCAAAGTCTTTTCATTGTACATTATCTCACCTGATAACCCCAGTGAAAAGTTACAGTTTCATCTTGGAATGGTTTTTATTACATGTAATTGGAAAGTACAATGTGTAATATTGTCTCCAGAATACCTTCTTATGGTATATGAAGTGCCACTAGGAAGGTGTTAGACGTTTGTTTCAATAGTCCACCAATTTTTTTTCTTTTCCTTTCCCTTTCCAAATGATAATCTTTACTATTTTGCTGATTATTAAAAGTATAAAATACTTTTAAAATACAGAAGTATATAATGTAGACAGTGGAAGTTCCCATCCCCTGCTCTTCCCTATAATTCCCCTCTCAGTGATTGCCAGTGTTTAGTATTTGCATATCCTTCCAGACTTTATAAATATCTTTTATCATAATTGGTATTATACTCTGTACATTTCTTTCCTTATCTATGTTGATCTACCTCAACCTTTTATTTATTTTTATTTTTTCATTTTAAACAAGTTTACTTAAACAAGATCCTTAATTCAAAGGAAAACTAGTATTCATTTTTTAGAGTAATTTTCCCCACTTAAAGATAGCTTACATACAACAGCTATATACAAAAAAGTTATAATATTATCCTTAGTTTTCCAGTGGTAAATGAGAAACATAAAAGTCTACCAATTGAACAAGGTATGTGAGGATTTTTATGTTGTCGAGGTTTTTTTGTTAAAATAGAGCAAAATAAGTTACTGAAATAATAAAGATAAAGCTGAGTAGACGTGATACTGATGGAGAAAGTGGGTATTTTCACAGAACTGGTATTTTTTCCCATTTCAACTCCATTTGATATCAATCAAAACTTACCATTTGCCATTTAGTAAAACAAAAAATGCAATATGCTTGTGCACATACACCAGTTACTTTATGTACAATAAAGGAATGGGAAAGGGGAAAAGGAAAGAATAAAGAAAACTATACTGTAGTAGTCAAGAGGTGGTAGAACTGAATTTTTTCTAATTGTGAATGTGTTCACAGTCTGTAAGAATAGAGTTCTGGAATAAAGTAAGAGGTTTTCTTTTAAGTAGACACTTCCTGTCTGCTACTGGAACATACCAATTTTATCTTCATCCTCCATTCTCACCTATACAGGTATGTCTGTTTCATTGATTGGCTGCCTATCAAATCGGAATACGATCTGTCTCGTTGACAAACTCTGTCATTCACAATAGATTTTCATTAGTTTATTAAGTGTGGTATGGCTCTTAATCTTAAACTGCACCACAGAACCATCATGCCTGCTACCTTCAAATTAATATGATCATTGTTCTCAGTCTTGACTCCTTCCTTGGGCTTGTTTGCTGACCGTGGTGAGTGCCAGAGTCTCCTCAGCTGCCACTATACAAAAGAGATATCAGGTCCATGTTGAAGGAGCCTACTTCAAACTTTTAAATTGCTACATATTCTTCCGTTGTATGAATATACCATATTTAATGAATTAATGATATTTATGATGTTTCTCAATGCTGTTACAAATATGAATATCCTACTATATGTACCTTTGCCTACTTTTCTGATTATCCTTAGAATAACTATCTGAAAGTAGATTTTCTATGAAGGGGTGTTACATGTGTCAGCTCTTGACATATATTATCCCCTAAAAAGATGTGTTTTTCCCCCTAGAACCAACATAAGACACATTCAGTCTTTGCCAAATAAAAAGTACCTGATTATTTCAATTTGCATTTTCAGAGAGTATCAGAGTTAGGCCTATTTTAGTATTGAACATTTATAATTATTTTTTATGTAAATCGCATACATCTCCTAATTGTTTTCATTTCAACTTATAAGAACATTTTATATATTAAAAGTAGCAAACCTTTGTTATATATATAGCAAATAGTTTTACCCAGTTTCCTACTTATTTTTTAGTGTTATTCATGATATATTTTGTAGTAAGAAATTTTAAGTTTTTGTATAGTAAAATCTGTCAGTCTTTTCTTTAAGGGTTTCTTTTTTTTTTTTTTGTCAAAACTAGAAATACTTTACCTACCTCGAAACCATAAACATATATTCTTTTATCTTTATTTCCATTTATTATATTTATAGCTTTTACATTTATATTTTTAATCTGTTTGGAATATTTTGGCATATGAGAAAGGTAGGGCTCTAACTTTATTTTTTCAAATGGTTAACCAGTTGTCCCAATATTAGTTACTGAATAACCTATCTTGTTGCCACTGTTTAAAATGCCACTGTTGTCATATATTAAATTCCCAAATATATATAGGACTGTTTCTTACTCTTTGTTTTGTTTCATCAATCTATTTGACTATTTCTGTACCATCACTGCATGATTTTATCATCCTTAGCTTTTAGTGCATTTCTGTATCTGGTAGGGAAAAATGTCCTCCCACACAGAGTAGCTGGCTATAGCATTCATCCTAAGCTTCTTTGGTACAAACAGCAAGCTCAGTGCAGTATGAGACTTTAACCACTGTGTGCTTCCAATTTACCCTCTTCCAGATTTCGTTGGTGGGTTTTGCTCTGAGCTTGGTGCTTTTTGGAATTCTGATGGAAGAAATCCATACAGTTACTTCTGAGGGAGCCTCTCCTTTTCCTATGTTGAGTGACAAGCTGTGTTTTAGCTTGGGGTGCTATAACAAAATTCTATAGACTGGGTGGCTTAAACTACAGAAATTTATTTCTCACAGTTCTAGGGGCTGGGAAGTACCAAGATCAAGGCGGTGACATATTTAGTTCTTGATGGGGGCCCTCTTTCCAGATTGCAGGTGGCTGCTGTATTGCTGTGTGTTCACATGACCTTTCCTTTGTGCTTAGAGAGAGCTCTGGTTTCTCCACTTTTTTTTTAATAAAGGTGTTAATCACATGAGAGATAATGAGGGCTCCACCCTCAAAACCTCATCTAACCCTAATTACCTCCCAAAGATCCTACCTCCTATCATCACATTGAAGGTTAGGGCTTCAGTGTATGAATTTGAGGGGGGACACGATCAGTCAGTCCATAACAAAGTTTTTACTACTGCTTCATTTTCCTTTAATCCAATCCCATCTTTTGATCTATGGGGGGCATATTTCCTTTTTTCCCATTGCTACTTCAGATTTTAAAAAACCCAAAAAACTAACCATTTCTTTGAATATTTTTCTAGGAACTTGGAAGGGAAGAAAAGTTAAAATATGGGCTCGATTTGTCATTTTGAAAACAAAAACTTTGGCATTGTTTGAATTATGTACTAGCATTATGTGTTTTAAAAAATGACCTAAAATGAAATTTAAAAAAAGAAAGAATTAGTGGTTAAGTCTGTATAATTTTCTATACATATTCTTCACCTTCATTCATCCTGAGACAAAGAAATATCAAGTATTATTTTATTCAGTGTAGTATATCTGTTTCCTCCTAATTAATAATTTAAAAACATTAACACATAAAAGTGGCAGTTAAGAAATTATATACAAGATGATTTTTAATGACATTTTGCCAATCCTTGGGTAATTATCAAAGCAGAGCAATAAAACTATTGCAAATGATTTATGATTATATTTTCATTCTAGGCACACCTTCTCCTAAGATTCAACTTGGGTTCCAACTCAGAGAGGACCTGCAAGGACAAATGAATAAAAATAAGATGATGTGTGTTCTTAGTGAGGATACAGTATTACAGGTGTGTAGCATGTTGATCGAATACATACTTATTAAAAATTGGAAATGGTATCTCTTAGAGTGGCAGATTACTAATGATAATTCTTTTTGTCTATTATTTTGTTTTTCTAATCTTCCCTTATTATTTATCGAGAGGTTTTTACCTCTCTTAACCAGTCATTCTATTTCTTTGCTGCAAGTTTGATGAAAGCCAGTTGTTTTAGGAGGGAGGATTTAAAATACAACTGACCTTTGAACAATTCTAGAGTTAGGGGCACTGACCACCCCACACCCTGCCTTATGTAGTCAAAAAATCTATGTATAACTTTCGACACCTCAAAAACTTAACGACTAATAGCCTACTGTTGACTGGAAGCCTTACTGATAACAAAAACAACGCATATTTAGTATGTTATATGTATTATATACTGTATTCTTACAATAAAGTAAGAAAAGAATATGTTATTAAGAAAAATCGGGGGGGGCGGGGGTAAGGGCAACATATGTAACCTAAACATCTGTACCCCCATAATATACTGAAATAAAAAAATAAAAAAAAAGAAAAATCATAAGGAAGAGAAATTAATATATTTACTATTCATTAAATGGAAGTGGATCATCATAAAACTCTTCATGTTCGTCTTCATGTTGAGTAGGCTGAGGAGGAGTAAGAAGAGGGATTGATTTTGCTTTCTCAGGGGTGGCAAAGGTGGAAGAAAATCTGTGTATAAGTGAACCTGCACAGTTCAAACCTGTGTTGAAGAGTCAACGGTATTTCCTGTTTTCCTCTTAATGCTTTTTATATTTTTCTCTTTTTGGTAGAGATGTGGAAGTAAGAAGAACACAGGTTAAAATAGGATATAATAATTACAATTTTCATCTCCATTTCATGTCAGAGATCATTTTAAACTTGTGAAGAAGATACTTGTTTGTATAGTGTAATTTGACATATGGGCCACTGAAAAGACCCTTCTGTTGTTTTATGTGTGTGAGTATATGTATATATACACACATACTTCCTAGGACTTTTTATTTGTTTCTTTTTAATGCAGACATCATAGGGGAAAGTAAAGGATGATTCAGTTGGCATCTTAGCGTACATAAGTTAGCTAAGTAACCCAGGCACAATGGCTCATGCCTGTAATCCCAGCACTTTGGGAGGCTGAGGCTGGAGGACTGCTTGAGCCCAGGAGTTTGAGACCAACCTGAGTACCATAGCAAGACCCCACATCTACCAAAAAAATTTTTTAAAAAATTAGCCAGGCACGGTGGTGTGCACCTGTAGTCCTAGCTACTCGTAGGCTGAAGTAGGAGGATCGCCTGAGCGCAAGAGTTTGAGGTTAAGGTGAGCTGTGATTGTGCCACTGCACACTCTAGCCTAGGCAACAGAGTGAGACCCTGTCTTGAAAAAAGCAAAAAACAAGAAATAAAAAAACTAAACTTATCCAGGCATGGTGGCTCATGCCTGTAATCCTAGCACTCTGTGAGGCTGAGGCAGGAGGACTGCTTGAACTCAGGAGTTTGAGACCAGCCTGAGCAACAGCAAGACCCTGTCTCTACTAAAAAAAATAGAAAAAATTAGTCAGGTGTGTTGATGAGATCCTGTAGTCCCAGCTACACAGGAGGCTGAGGTAAGAGGACCACTTGAGCCTAGGAGTTGCAGGTTGCTGTGAGCTAGGCTGACACTCCTGCACCGTAGCCCTGGTGACAGAGTGAGACTCTGTCTCAAAACAAAACAAAACAAAACAAAAATACTAAATTTGGGTACCTCAGTCTGACAGAAAGATATTTTAAGCAAATGTTATCAGCTATTCATCAAGGTACTTAAAACACTTATTGAATACCAGTAGTGGGTATTCTGTTCTACTGAATGTGAGGGTAGTTTGTATGAGACATCCTGATGTGTCCTGGAGAGCCAGGATTGGTTGGGCTGATCTGGCTGGTGAGAGTTCTTCCACTCCACTCCAGGTAATCTATGACTCAGTGAAAGAGAATGATCTCAGATAGAGGTTGTTTTTTGTTCAAAGGTACATAAATAGATTTACTCCTTTTTCTGATCCTTTGAATTAACACAATTAACCTCTCTTTCACCTCTCACACCCTACCCCAACAAATAAAACAACAAGAAAACTCTACAGTTTAATGGTCTGGTCAAAATATGGGGTAGGTAGGGCCAGGAGAAAAATGCAGTCACCTGTATCAAAAAGATAGAAAGCAATTTGTGTCCCTTATGAAAGAATTGATTGAAGTGTATCCTTGAATGTTGTTAATTAACAAATGAACAACTCATGCCCACTCTGTATTCAGTGGCATTAGCTCATGGGTGGTAGTTCTTTGTATAGAGGAGGAAATAAAATCAGCTGTCAGGAGCAAGCTTCCTTCTTAACTTGCTTTCTTATCTTTTGCATTTACCTTATATAGGTAGGGTCAAGTGAATAATTTTCCCTCAATAGGAAAGTTACTGGTCCTTTAGTAAGATTAGTAAATATTACAGGTATTTGAAAGAATTGCTTTGTAAAGACACAGAAATATCTAGTAAGTATATAAGTAAACTCTGTTGAATTAATCCTTGGGAGTTTCTAGGTTTATCTCTTGAAATTCCTTCTTCTCTCTGGGTGAGCTTTGTAAAGCTTGCTCGGGAAATACATACATGTGGAACCACTGTAACTTTACATGTGCAGGGATGCATTATCAATAAATAACACTGAACATTAATTGGAGAAGATTAAGGTTCTCACAGTGCTTTATTATTATTATTTTTGTTATATGACTGTATTAGTGATCACTGAAGTGCTTGCAAGTTCAGGCTAATGGCTTTATTTTCAGAAAGCTTTATTATTGATCATAGAAACAAACATAGAGGGCTCCCAAAGAGAGGTCTTTTTCTAAAGATCTTTGATACTAACAACATATTTAAGGTAAGAATTCCTTTTAAAGTGATGAAAGTCAGTATGCTGTGAAATCTTAAAATGGAAGCATTTTATCTTTTTAGAAAGTGTAAAAGAAAATAAAAATCTCAGGACTCCTACCCCCCAATTCCTTACAGAAGAAAGAAGGTCAAGCTTGGGGGCTGAGTCATGCAACATCTCCTTCCAAATGAATAGCTGTTAGTAACATTATGCATTAGCCATATCTCCACTGGAAAGGTAAAAGGCCTTAGACATCTATGAAGGACTGCCCCCACTTATCACTCATAAGCAAATTCTTTGCTGGCATAATTGATTCTTCCTTTACTCCCTTTTTCTCTTCAAACATTCACCTTATCTTTTGTAAAATGTAGACTTCCTGGGCCTCACAAGAATGTAACCATTTGCTTCATTACCCACTCGCTCCTCCCTTTTCTTTCTGTATGCCCTCTCCCCTTAAATGCCGAGTTCCCAAATTTCTCTTTGGAAAAAACAGTCACAGATGCCTGTGTGGCTTGAGTTTTTCCTGGATGCGTCCTCAAACTTTGGCTTATTTATTTATTTATTTATTTTTATTTTGGCATATTATGGGGGTACAAATGTTTAGGTTCCATATATTGCCTTTGTCCCACTTGAGTCAGAGCTTCAAGCATGTCCATCCCCCAGAGAGTACACATCGCACCCATTAGGTGTGTATATACCCATCCCCTCCTCCCCCCACATCTGCCTGATACCCTATGAATATTACTACTATATGTGCACTTAAGTATTGATCAGTTAATACCGATTTGATGGTGAGTACATGTGGTGCTTGTTTTTCCATTCTTGTGATACTTCACTTAGTAGAATGGGCTCCAGATCTATCCAGGATGATACAAGGGGTGCTAGATCACCATTGTTTTTTTGTGGCTGAGTAGAACTCCATGGTATACATATACCACATTTTATGAATCTGCTCATGTATTGATGGACACTTGGGTTGTTTCCACATTTTTGCAATTGTGAATTGTGCTGCTGTCAACATTCCGGTGCAGATGTGTTTTTTATAGAATGTCTTTTTTTCCTTTGGGTAAATGACAAGTAATGGGATTGCTAGATCCAATGGTAGTTCTACTTGTATCTCTTTGAGCTATCTCCATATTACTTTCCACAGAGGTTGTACTAGTTTGCAGTCCCACCGCAGTGTGTGAGTATTCCTCTCTCTCCACATCCACACAAAAATTTATTGTTTTGGGACTTTTGGGTAAAGGCCATTCTCACTGGAGATAACTGATATCTTATTGTGGTTTTGATTTGCATTTCCCTGATGATTAGGGCTGTTGAGCATTTTTTCATTTGTTTGTTTGCCATTAGTCTGTCTTATTTTGAAAAATTTCTGTTCATGTCCTTTGCCCATTTTTTGATAGGGTTGTCTGATTTTTTTCTTGCTGATTTTGCTGAGTTCTATATAGATTCTAGTTATCAGCCCTTTGTCAGATGTGTAACATGCGAATATTTTCTCCCATTCTGTAGGTTGTCTATTTGCTCTCGTGATACTTTCCTTGGCTGTGCAGAAGCTTTTTAATTTTATCAGGTCCCATTTATTTATTTTTATTGTTGCCACGATTGCCTTTGGGGTCTTCTTCATAAATTGTTTGCCTAGGCCAACATCTATAAGTTTTTCCAACATTTTCTTCTAGAATTCTTATAGTTTGATACCTTAGGTTTAAGTCTGTTATTCACCAGGAGTTGATTTTTGTGAGAGGTGAAAGGTGTGAATCCTGTTTCAATCTTCTACATGTGGCTATCCAATTTTCCCAGCACCATTTATTGAATAAGGATTCTTTTCCCCAGTGTATGTTTTTGTCTGCTCTGTCAAAGATTAGATGGCTATATGAGGATGGTTTTATATATGTGTTCTCGGTTCTGTTCCATTGGTCTATATCTCTGTTCTTGTGACATGCTGTTTTAGTTACTATAGCCTTGTAGTATACCTTGAAGTCTGCTAACCTGATGCCTCCCAATTTGTTTTTTTTTCTTAAGATTGCTTTTGTTATACGAGGTCTTCTCTGGTTCCATATGAAGCATAGAATTATTTTTTCTAGATCTACAAAAAATGATGTTGGTATTTTAATAG